GTTTTGTTTAATTTTCTTCTTGATCAGGAATCCTGTTCCTCCGTATGTTTCTTCCTCCTTTCCTTTGTAATATAGGCGATTTCCTGATTCTAGTTCTAGACACATTTCTCCTCTTCTTTTGACCTCTGACAACCCTACAATGTCCCATTTGATTTTAGTTAATTCTTCTTCGAGTTCGTACAGTTTTTCATCTTGAGCCATGGATCTGATGTTATATGTCGCTATGTGTATTTTGTTGGGTTCTTTCAGTTTCGGTTTTCTCTTATTTGTTCTTGTCGAGCTTTTGCCTCCCCCAGAATCCGTGAGGCTGATCGGTTTCCCGATGTGGGATTCCGGATTTCTCCTACCCACCTGGGGTACATTTCCTTTTTGTTTTAAATTCGACATAGTTTGGGGAAAAATAGCCTTAAATCACCACGCTGGCCAGGCGGGTTGGTGATTTGTAACCGCAGTATCACAGCCGGTTAAATCATTATGTGATTGCCGCCTGTGAATATGTGATATCAAACCTGAGAGGAGGTTATTTTCCTTCAGCCTTGAATCACTAATGACATAGCTGCTGCCCTATGCCATATCCTCAGTTGATCCGCGGGTGCTTATTTGGTAAGACCTTATTCACACCTGTCCTATATATCTATAGGAACGTTCCCTATCAGCCATTGGGACGCGTCGTGTCGAGGTTGAGGATTCCCCCGCCCATTTGTCTTCCGTGAAGTACAGAAGGGCCCCTACTCAATTCAGAGCTCCTCCTTCACGCAAGCTAAAACAGACACGAAGCTAAAACAGACACGAAGAATACATAATACATACATAATACCCGGCAATAATGTAGGAGACCTTTTACAATAACTGCTTTTTATTATAGCCAACCACTAATTCACCATGTTAATTGCTGATTGCTTGTAACTACTTAGAAGGGTATTCATGAGATGAGATATCTTGGCTAATAGTATTATGTCTCTTTGTATATTAATGTTTTATGGCGATGAAGTGGGATATATCTTACATTATCAGTGATTTTAATAGTTAAGTAATGCATTTTTGGCGATAAATTTGAGTGGCCAAGAACTGTATCTTAAATATGTCCGTGTTATAATGATTGGCGCACTGGCCAATGACTGTACTTCGAATTAAAATATTTATTATAATTTAGACTTTTTTAGCCTAGTTTGATCCAAGAAAAGAGATTTCAAACATTTTTTCTTATTTTTAAAGGCAATAACCAGTGTTTGCCCCACTGCCAATCACTAAACCACAGGGTGGCCAATAACTTTAATGTATAATAAGAATATATTTTTTGTCCGAATTTGTATTTATAAAATTACAATTATTAAAATTAAAATTAAAAATACAAATTTGGAAGGTTACTTATAACGTAAGCTAAAACGTATCACAAACAATATACACAACAAGATCTTCAGTCTACTTTTCAGGCCATAGAAAATGGCATGAGCCAACGAAAAGCCGCTGAACAATTTAATGTGCCAAGAGCAACATTTCAGTTTAGATCAAGTGGAAAATTTAATGAAAAAACTACCCTTGGTCCCAATCCTATTCTTTTTTTGGAGGAAAAGAATAGTTTAAAGCATTGAATCATAACATGCCAAGACAAAGGTTTTCCAGTAGGCTCTATTCTCATTAGACGTGCCAGGCCCGTGCTCGTCACCTGACCGGCACATGCTATGCTTTTGAAGATGAAAAGTACATTAAAATTATAGCACCAATCAATAGTGGTTCCAGCTACTTTAACTACAAAAAGATTTTTTTCTGTAGTTCTACTTGCTTTAGTAGATATGTAGTTCGACTTGCTCTAGGAAATCACGATAAACCATTTTTGTCCTTAAAAAACTCACTCTCTCCATTTTCCGAACTCAGGTCGCCCGTAAATTATTTTTTCTTTTATTTATGTCATATCATTTTTCTTTTCCAACAAGTTTCATCCTACTATTATTTTTTTTGTTTGAAATATTATCGGCAGTGGTCTATTACCTAAATAAACTATAGTGTTTTATTTACCTATTTTATATTTTCTCCAACATCCCACCATACTTGAGACTTATGTGCTGCATCTGCATACAGTCGATTCATAAAATCGTATAATTCACTTCTCTCACGAACTAATTCTATTAAATCATCATCAGTATCATGTGAAAATAATTTTTTTCGCAGCGTTTTGCCTGTCGAAACTCGTCTGAAGTATTCACACTATGTAGGACTGTGCAAGGAATGTGCCAAGCATGGGCTAGGAAAATATTGTTTGAAAAGATTGTCCGATGCCGGGCACGGAACGTTTCCACTTCGAGCACTTGTAGTGAGAACGGACCGTCGCTAGCAGCTAGCTTTAGCGGGGCACAAGCCGAGCATATGCCTGGCACTATTTATAGTGAGAATAAAGGCCTATTCTCACTATAGTGCCTGGCATGTGCTCGGCTTGTGCCCTGCTCGAGACCTGCAAAATTACTTTAACGTTATTCAAATGGGTTTAGCGACGGTCCGTTCTCACTACAAGTGCTCGAAGTGGGAACGGTCCGTGCCCGGCATCGGACAATCTTTTCAAATAATATTTTCCTAGCCCATGCCTGGCACATTCCTTGCACAGTCCTAAATAGTGTGAGTACTTCAGACGAGTTTCGACAGGCAAAATGGTGCGAAAAAATTATTTTTACATGATACTGATGAATTTTTAATAGAATTAGTTCGTGAGAGAAGTGAATTATACGATTTTATGAATCGACTGTATGCAGATGCAGCACATAAGCCTCAGGTATGGTGGGATATTGTAGAAAAAATTAAAATAGGTAACACACTATATTTTATCTAGGTGATAGACCACTGCCGATAATATTTCAAACAAAAAAAGTAGTAGTAGGATGAAACTCGTTGGAAAAGGAAGATGATATGACAGAAATAAAAGGAAAAATAATTTCGGAAGTTCGGAAAATGGAGGGAGTGAGTTTTTTAAGGGCAAAAATGGTTTATCGTGATTTTCTAGAGCAAGTAGAACTACATATCTACTAAAGCAGGTAGAACTACAGAAAAAATCTTTTTGTAGTTAAAGTAGCTGGAACCACTATGCATTGGTGTTATAATTTCGATGTGCTTTCCATCTAGGGCTCCTAATGCGTTAGGAAATATCGCATTCTGCTGGTAATTCTGCTGAAACTCGGCAATTGACATTCTATAATATATATAAAATTTTGACTCATCATCCATGAGTTCTTTATACAAAGTATAGTATTCTCCTTTTATTTTTCTTTTCTTAATCATTGGATGTATCCAAAACCTCCTTTTTTAACGTTATCTCTCATATCGTCTTCTTCTTCGGCATCCAAAGTAAAAAATGCAATTTTTACTAAAGTTGCAGTGGAAAACTGCACAACTACCCACCTACACGTCTAACCGACTGCCTGTGCAAAATACCGCTGAAAGCATGCTTCGAGCGCGAATAGTGTGAATATTTACCAAAAGCATGGCATGTGCCGGTCAGGTGACGAGCACGGGCCTGGCACGTCTAATGAGAATAGACCTTAAAGGGTAAAGGTTTTCTTGACGTAAAGACGTAAAAAAACACAAGATATGTATAACCAATGATTTTACAAAAGGGGAACATGCAGGAAAACAGAACGAATAGCGAATGAAGAAATAAGTGGAGGAAAAAAAAACGTTAAGGCCGATCCTCGCGATTTTGGCCATAGGTAAATTCGAATGTAAAAGTTTATATCAAATAACGCAAAAACTATGGCAGATATTGAGATGATTCTTTTTTTTTATGGAAGGTCTAAAAACGTTCTAGTGCACTATTTGGTTGTAAATTATTAAATTGTTTAAACAATATTTTTTTTAAATATTTTTGGTTAAAATACCTAAACGTAAATTTTTTTTTTTTAAATAGGGCACTACAGAATTTGACCCACTTTCCGAATTTGTTTTTATTTTTAACATAAAGTGTAACACAAAGCAGCTATTTGATATAAACTTTTAAAAAATTTCAAATTTCTGCTAAATGCAATTTTCTCTCCGTCAGCACAGGCTGTCCTTGTCGGTAGCTTCTGGATTCTCGCCAGGAGCCCTATTCACTAACTTACGTGAGTGGTCGTGTAGGAGTTCTCTCTCACAATTTTGCTTTAATGCGCAAGTCACTCTCCTGAAATTGTAAAATCCGTATTCACGAAAATGTAAGAGAACGCTATGCGAGTACTCTCCTACTCCACTGGGTAAAACTAAGAGAATTGCGAAATTTTAAGGGAGTGGACATGCGCCGTAGAAATTATAAGTGACAGAAGGCCAATAAAACGAAGAATATTGTATATTGTATACAATAGGTACAGTTTATATGAAAGGTTATTGAAATTTTAAAAAGGTCGTTGACTCCTATTTGTATTTGGTTTTTATATACCACGTCTCTATTTCCAACGGGAAGACCCTTTTTTAATGTTATCTGAGGTGAATTTTATTAAACATTTCCGTCTCAATAAAGACAGCTTTATAAAGACAGACTACTGAAAATAAGCTGGGTCGACAGAGTTAGAAATGAGGAGGTCCTTAGACGGCTGAGCCAAACAACACAACTGGTCAATATAATAAAGAAACGCAAGTTGGAATACTTCGGTCACATTATGAGACACCCTAAAAAATATGATCTTTTACATCTGATCATTCAGGGAAAGATCCAAGGTAATCGTGGTCCTGGTAGAGGAAGAACACCATGGCTGAAAAATCTATGGTATGGAAAATAAACTACATCGTTATTTAGAGCTGCTGTCAATAAAGTAACGATAGCGAATATGGTCGCCAACATGATCTCCAACGATCGATAACGGTCATGGAACTAGAAGAAGAAGAAGACATTATAATATCAGGTGAATGTTTACTAATAAGTACCTGAAATAAGGGTAGGCCGGTGTGAAAACTGTTTAAGTTCCACTGTAAAATATTATTATACATGAATTATATTTTTATTTAAATAATTAGTTTTGAGATATATCGCTGTCTAAGTCAGATCAACCAACGTATTCGAGCAGTTGTTTAGTTATTTTTTTGCTTAGTCTAGTACATTTAATTTTCATATTTCGATCTTCAGCCTGGGTATGTATTTCGTTTATCATTTCTATAAGAGATGGAATATGTAGGGTATAGTCTTTAGCAATGCTTAATGCATCATTACTACCGTGAGTGTTCTCTAACAGATCAGTGAATTGTTGACTATCGAGTGAGAACTTGGGATTGTAATTGTCAATGAAATTGGTTATCTTTTGGGGCAATTCTCGAAATTCGAATGAGAGTTTATCTTTCGATTTCAACTTTTTCTTTGGAACTTTTGGAACAGGTGTTGGAAAGGAAGATTTTGGTTCTGAGAAATTAGTAATATCTGGTGTATCTTCTGGGCTAGGTGTTGCAATTTCAGATAAATTTCGTTTCGTGGAACTTAAACAGTTTTCACACCGGCCTACCCTTATTTCAGGTACTTATTAGTAAACATTCACCTGATATTATAATGTCTTCTTCTTCTAGTTCCATGACCGTTATCGATCGTTGGAGATCATGTTGGCGACCATATTCGCTATCGTGACTTTATTGACAGCAGCTCTAAATAACGATGTAGTTTATTTTCCATACCATTGCCTTAGATTTTTCAGCCATAATGTTCTTCCTCTACCAGGACCACGATTACCTTGGATCTTTCCCTGAATGATCAGATGTAAAAGATCATATTTTTTAGGGTGTCTCATAATGTGACCGACGTATTCCAGCTTGCGTTTCTTTATTATATTGACCAGTTGTGTTGTTTGGCTCAGCCGTCTAAGGACCTCCTCATTTCTAACTCTGTCGACCCAGCTTATTTTCAGTAGTCGTTTGTATACCCACATCTCAAAGGCTGTCAAGCGTTTAAGCATAGCCTCAGTTAGAGTCCACGCTTCCACTCCATACAGCAAGACAGGAAAGATGTAGCAAGATGTCATACGAACTCTAAGGTCAATGCTAAGATCGTGACTGCAAAGTATGTTTCTCATTTTTACAAAGGCAGCTCGGGTTTGTTCTATTCGGCTTTTAATTTCTGCGGTTGGATCCCAGCTCTCATTGATATTACTGCCGAGATACATGCGTTTCTCTACTCTGTCCAGTGTAGCATCTCCGACTTTTATACCGTCATCCTGTATATAATTTTGTTTGCTAACTATCATATATTTAGTTTTCTTAACGTTGAGTTTTAATCCATACTGATCACAAGTCTGTTTTATTTTGTTCATTAGATTTTGATTTTGAACTTGTCTCACTCCTCTTTTTATATTTATTTCATCCGACAGTTCTTGTTCAACCTTTATTCTTGCCACTTAATGCCAGTATAGATTTGTAATTATTTGTAGATCTTTATCGTCCAGTCCAGCTGTTTCCAATATTTCTAGCATTTTGTTATGTCGGACTTTGTCAAAAGCTTTTTCAAAATCAATTGCACGAATGTACACATTTTGATTTATATCTCTGCATCTCTGTACTAGCACCTGTATACTAAACAAGGCTTCTCTTGTACCCAAGCCACTCATAAACCCAAATTGAGTATTGCTAATTCTGTCCTCTAACAGCGTGTAAATTCTGCTGTGTATTACTCGCAGGAAGATCTTCAAAACGTGACTCATCAGACTTATTGTCCGATAATCACCGCATGTCTTTGGACGATGTTTCTTAGGTATTGTGACAAATGCCGACTTTAACCAATCAGTTGGTAATATCCCAGTGTCATAAATTCTGTTAAAAAGATTACACAGAGCTTTAATTCCATTTTCTCCCAAAAACTTTAGTGTCTTCAAGAAACTAATTTTAAAGGCAACAATGCGTATAACTTGAAGTTATATAATGTTTACTATCAAAATAGACAGACAAATCATGCTACTGGCGGTGTTGCGATATATGCTAAAACCGATTTACAAGTAAACAGAATCACAATTAATACAAACTTAGAAGCCATAGCAGTAATGGTAACAATAGGTACTAATCAAAAAATGAACATATGTAACTTTTATATTCACCCGAGCCAAAATATCCAAGTAAATGAACTTTCCGACTTAACTATGCAAATTCCATCACCAAAATTAATTCTCGGGGACTTTAACAGCCATAATCTTCTATGGGGTTCCGAAAAAAAAAACAACTAAAAATGTAAAGTTAGTAGCAAATGTAATCAATAGCATGAATTTAACAATATTGAACGACGGAGCTAAAACTCGTTTCGACGCAGCTACTGGAAATTTTTCAGCTATCGACTTGTCTATTTCTGACCCATCGACGTTACTAAATCACACATGGCAAACCGTAGACGATTTATATGGAAGTGATTATTATCCAATAATAATAACAAAAATTTCCAACCCCACAACAAAAACTAATCCTTTGCAAAATTGGAAAATTAAGCAAGCCAACTGAAACATTTTTAAAACAAAAATTACTGAAGAAATATCGAATATCCCTATAATTGAAGAAGACATAAACTTAACTTTAAAATTGTTTAATAACTTAATCACTGAAGCCGCCACAATTGCAATGGGAAAAACAAAGTATATAACAAAAAACAAAGTTGTTCCCTGGTGGAATGAAGAGTGTAAATTGGCAATAAAACAAAGTAAAAAAGCTTTAAATACTTTCAAAAGACATAAAACCAATGAGAACTTAATAGAGCTAAAGAAAAAAAGGGCATATGCCAAATTAATTACTTCCAGATCTAAAAAAGAGTCTTGGAAAAAATACGTTCAAAGTATTAACAGGAATACAAACATGTCATCAGCATGAAAAAAAGTTAAGAGGATATCTGGCGTCAGCGAAATGGAAACATAATTAATGAAAACAAAAAAATTGCAGAAGAATTAGCTGAAACATACAGACAAGATTCTACAAATGAAAATTACAGCAATACTGTTTTACAATGTCGGGAATAAGAAGATGCAAATACAATAGAAATTATAGCCAATAACGATGATATAAATATTTCAATTAATAAAACAGACCTATTAGAAACAATCCAAATGTTAAAATACACATCACCAGGTCCAGACTACATACCCGCAATATTCTTAAAACAGTTACCTAACGAAGCTTTATACTTTCTATGGAATCTTTTTAATACAATCTGGTGGAAACAAAAATTTCCTGACTTATGGAGACAAGCTATTGTCATCCCTATACTAAAACCTAGCAAACCGGCTACAGCGGCATAATCACATAGGCCAATATCACTTACATGTTCTACTTGCAAACTGCTAGAGAAAATAATAAATAATAGACTTATGTGGCATTTGGAACATCACAATTTACTTATACCTGAACAAGCTGGATTTCGTCCTTTGAGATCTACTATAGATAATGTTTTACATTTAGAAAGTCAAATTAATGAAGCCTTCTGTAACAAACAAAAATGCATAGCTGTTTACTTTGACATCCACAAAGCATTTGACTTAGCATGGCGACACAGAATATTAACAAAGCTGCAGACTTGAGGAATTCAAGGAAACATGTTGGCATTTTTAAATAACTTTCTAAATGATCGCAAATTTTAGTACGTAGTAATGGAGAACTTTCTAGTATCAAGTCTCAAGACAATGGAACACCACAAGGATCAGTAATTAGCCCTACACTTTTTTTAATAGCAATGAATGATGTTATAAAAAATCTCAAGAGACCTGCACAGGCTAGAGTATATGCTGATGATATGATAATGTTTATCAAAGGAAAAAATATTAACTCGATGGTCAAAATTTTACAAGTAGAACTAAATAAAATCGAAAGTTGGTCTAATAGGAGTGGATTCTATTTTTCAGCTGACAAGACACAATATATTATTTTTTCCAAAAAGCCTATTTACACTTACCTACCTGCCTTAAAATTCGGCACAAAGTTTTTAAAACGAAGTACAAAGATAAAATATTTAGGCATAACATTCGACGAAACTTTAAGTTGGAAACCACATATTAAACAATTGGCGATATCATGTCAACATGGTATAAATCTTTTAAGTGTTTAGCCAACAAACAATGGGGTGCTGACGGAGATACATTATTACTGTTGTATAGAAGCCTAATCCGATCAAAATTTTGCATTGCATATTCTGCAGCGTCGAAGTCAAATTTAAAAATCTTAGACGTTATACACAACAATGCATTACGCATAATCTCTGGAGCTTATAGAACAACTCCTGTTGCAAGCCTCGAGTGGGAACTTGGAGAGACATCATTACATGAACGATGAAAATTACTTAGTCTATCTTACGCTTCAAAACAATCATCAATACAACCTGACAACCATTTTCTTACTTAGCCATCGTTATCAAATATCAATATAAGAACACATTTACCATTTCAATTAAGGATCAAAAACATTTTAAACTCTATTGAAATTTTTAACTTTCCCTCAACACATTCAGCAAACGTAAACACGCCACCCCTCTGGTTAATACGTTTGCCTACTTTAAATTTAGAACTATCATCATATCATAAATCTGAAACTAATCCACAAATATTTATAGGCAATTATAATAGAATCCTTTCTTCTTTCCCTGAATATACCCAAGTTTACGCAGATGCATCTAAAACAACTTCTGGTGAAAGATCATCATTTGTTATAAGAGACATAATAAAAAGTTTCAAATTGCCCGCAGAATCCACTGTGATAACTGGAAAATTGTATGCAATATACAGAGCTCCAACAGTCAAACCAGAAAAATTCCTTATAATTACTGACTCAATCAATTCCCTTCATATACTGTCAAAAATGTACACTTGCAACCCGTTAGCTAAATTAATTAAAAACAAGATGCAGCAGCTGGAAAACAAAACATTAACCAGGCTCCGATTAGAACATAGCAAACTCACACATGAATATCTCATGAATAAGGAACCTCAACCAAAATGTACGAGTTGTAACGTGCCGTTAACTGTGAAACACGTATTAATGGAGTGTCCCAAATATAGTGCTGAAAGACTAACTAATAAAATTCCATCAGTTATAAGGGACATCTTTAGTGAGTGTACCAGTGAAAATATTGTGAAATTTTTTAAAGACATTAATATTCTTAACAAAATAAAATATTTATTTATAGAGGTTAATGCGACCATGTTTGTAAATAAAAAAAGATATTTGCAATATTTACCCCCAGCAAAAACAACATTCCAAATAAACAACACGGAGTTTATGTAGTCTATATAGGCCAAATAAATCCTAGAATCCAAAATAAAATTTATAAACATTTCATTTCTGTTCGCAATTCCGATGCAATTTCAGCTCTAGGTCAACACCATCTTTATATAGGTTACAAAATTTGTTTTGAAAACTCCAGAACCATAGCTTCCATCCACTTTTATAAAACAAGCATTATCCGAGAAACCGTACAAATTGGAAAAAGGCCAAATTGTCTTAATAAAAGAAATGACGGCATATGGTTATCTTTAACATGGAGACCTC